AATGACATTTACAATGAGCTTAGACAAGCTGCTGAAGCCCATCGTCAAACTAGGCAACACATGCAACGATGGATCAAGCCAGGCATGACTATGATGAGAAATTTGTGAGGAATTAGAAAACACTGCCAGAAAATTGATTGGCGAAAATGGCTTAGATGCAGGTTTAGCTTTTCCTACTGGCTGTTCTAGGAATCACTGTGCTGCTCATTATACTCCAAATGCTGGGGATAAACACTGTACTCGAGTACGATGATGTGACCAAAATAGATTTTTGGTACTCATATAAAAGGGCGTATTATTGACTGTGCATTTACTTGACATTCAATCCAAGTATGATAAATTATTAGAAGCTGTCAAAGATGCTACTAACACTGGAATTAAAGCAGCAGGGATTGATGTTCAACTTTGTGATATAGGTAAGATAGTTTTAGCACATTTAATTTATTGATGTATACAATATTTTTTAAAACTTTAGTCAAATATTTATGAATATCCATAAAATTTGATCATTATTATTATTATAAGCTTATTATATTTTGGGGAATAATTAGTTTTAAATATTAATTTGTAGGAGTGCTATCCAAGAGGTAATGGAATCTTATGAAGTTGAACTTGATGGAAAAACATATCAAGTCAAAAGCATAAGAAATCTTAATGGTCATTTATTAGTCCTTATCGAATACACTCTGGTAAAACTGTACCAATAGAGAGGCGGTGAGTGAGACAACTAGAATGGAAGAAAATGAGTTCTATGCCATTGAAACTTTTGGCTCAACCGGTAGAGGAGCCGTTCATGATGACATGGACTGTTCTCATTACATGAAAAACTTTGATATGCCATATGTCCATTGCGTTTACAATCATCTAAAACTCTTTTGAATATTATTAACAAAAAACTTTAGCACTCTTGCTTTCTGCAAACGTTGGTTAGATAGAGCAGGTGCTACAAAATATCAAATGGCATTGAAGGATTTGTGTGATAAGGGAGTTGTGGAGGCCTATCCACCACTATGCGATGTGAAAGGTTCATACACTGCACAATATGAGCATACCATAATGCTGAGACCTACCTGTAAAAGAAGTTGTTCCCGAGGGGACGATTATTAAAATAAAGTTATTGAATTTGTTTGTTAGCAGTTTTGATTTATATAAATTGTATATTTCCAATAATATAAATTACTGTTTTGCTACATTGTTTGTATATTTATGGATAATTTGTTTAATCTCTTTACATGAAAGGTTCTGATAAAACATGGAACTATTGCTTGTATGTGTATAGATTTTTTTTTTTTATTACAGTATTTAAGCATAAACTCTCGAAAATGCTACACATGTAGCAAATAAAAAACTTCCAAATTGTTCTCAGATAGATCCATTCATTTAGTATTTTGAAATTCAGTTTGAGCTATCTATATCCACATGAAATAAAAAAATTCTTTTCATATTATAAAATAAATCTTCATATAAAAATGCATACATCTTTTGGTGGGTACATGACTTAAGTTAGTTCATAACATTTTAAACATTTAAAAAAAAACTTAACAATTAATAAGTCATACAAAACAAATCACAACCAGCTTGTACTATATTCATCTGACTTTCTTACACGCTCCACCAATAGCTCTGCCAAATTTTCAGTTCCTAAAAATACAATATCATAATTTCACATTTTGAACAGCAACAACAATTTTTACTACCTTCATATAAAATAAGCTCATAAGTATTTTTATATTCGGCAAGCTTTCCAAAATATGGCTGAGAGTATTGTAAAATTGCTTAACAATTTCTTCACTATGCTCTCTTATATGTGCTGCAAAGTAAAATTTTATTTCAGATAAGATATATATATAACACTTTGACTTCTTAATAAATGCATGTACCTGAACAAGGTGCTTTTCCTATACATGTTTGATATAGTGTATGTAATGGAGTTGCACCTTCAGCAACCACATACAATGGCTTCTAAAGAAATTATATATAATTACAATAAAATAAAACAAACAAACAAAAATGTAATATTTTATAACAACTTTCCTGCACATGGCCTTCCATTTCAGACAAATGAATTTTATAGACAGAATTTTATATGATCGTCCTATGATTCCAGCAACATTCCGTTGTATCGATTCTAGAGACTGGTAAAATATTATAAATTATGTTACTTATTTTTCAGATCAAATGATTCAAGTGAAATGTTTACCTTGCAAGCTTCCATCATACCAGGAGGCGCATGGGTAACCAGCGATGGAGAAAAATACATTGAGAGCGGGATTAAAATAAACAATTTTTTCACAGGTATTGTAATATTTTCATTTGCCTCGTATTTCTAAAAAAAAAGTTTTATTTGAAACACTTGCAAACAAATAAAAACTATCGTTATTATTCTATTATTTTTCTACTATACTGACATCCCAAAATTGTTTTTCTGAATTTTCAAATTATCTCAAAATTAAATTAACTGCTTTTTTTTAATTTCATTATCTTCTACTTTCTTTAACACAATTTTGAAAAGTAAACTCTTTTCCAATTGATGAGAAATTCATTTAAAAAAATTTCTGACTTAACTTTTTGCTTCAAAAAAAAAAAATAGAAAAATTATTCTTTTTTAAGGAAACAAAAGGATCTTACTTCAATATTCTCTCTGATGCCCACATTATCATCACCATTATCGGGCAAAATTTTATTTAAATATCCATAAAAATAACTATGAGCCATTCCACTCCCATAGTCTAAACCTCCACCAGCTTGGATAAACTTAATATGATCACTTTTCGACTCAAACTGAAAAATGATTAATAATCAATCGTTCCATTCAAATAAAAGAACTGATAACATACTCCATTAGTGATAAAAAAAAATGAAATTGAATGATAACAAATATATTTCAGAGGCAGTTGTAGCACAAAAAAGAACTCTTTACAGTTGAAATAAAATTTTGAATTAAATGTGCAACAAGCTAATCTCATTCTTTTTTATAGCAATTAATTTTCAATAATCTACCAACTTGTGGACGTACAATATTAAAATGCTTTTGCATCCAATGAAAAATAACATTGGAAATTATTATCACAATCCCATCAACTGTAATATGGAGACCTACATGAAGCCATTTGGTAAAAAGAAAACTGAATAATGTTACCAAAAGAGTGTAACACTGATAATTTGGCTGATTGCGTCTTATATGCTCATATATGTTTTGCCCACGTACATAATTTGTGTAAATGTCATAAACTCTGAATATTATTTCTCCAAGAACAAGTCCAACTAGGCAATACATGGAAATTGTCACTGTTAACAAAGAAAAATAATTAATTTTGATTGATTGCATATATTTAATATATTATGCTTACGGAATAATTCGACGTCCAGAGACATTGTTTGAGTGGGTACTACTTATTGTCATTTGAATAAAAAGTTATATAATGTTGAAATTGTTTAAAGCAAATAAAACGGTTGAAATAGATCATTCCAGTTCTAGGGGTATATTTGAGAAAAATATTCTTTTACTACATGATTTACTACCTAACTATAAGCTAACTCATTTTAACATTTCTAAATGATTCAACTTCTTCATGATATCAAACAATTAAAAAAAACAACACCTGATCCATGACAATCGAATTTATTTAGAAACGCATTAAACTAGGGCATTAAACCTATAAGTTGCAAATGTTAAATTTAGGGTTACATTCGTTGATCCACATTTTTGTCATCAGAAAATCCGCTAATAATAGTCCGAGCACCCATGACACTATTGTATCACCATGTAATTCGAAAACCTAATATATTTGCCAATTTGCCTTTATCTCTAATTGTCAATTATGAATATTATGTCTAAAAATCAGCACGTATAATTTGCCTTGTTTGTAATGTATGTTATCGACTCGTGTTTCACAGGTTTTAGATTAAAATCTGTTTATTCTAGTTCATTTTAATAGTTTTGTCAGACTAAGTTATTTTTTTAATCTGGCAACACAAAAACATTTAGGAAAATGCATAGATAAAAGAAGAGTATAAGAGAAAATGTCATTTTTGAATCGATAGTAAGGATGAAATGATGAAATATAAATTTGAAAGCATATTAGCAAAAGATTTTGATTAATTAAGGAACTTGAGATATCCGTATATGATTATAAATCCGTTAAGTTGTATTAAACGAACTTCACTTTTGTATATGTGCCAACCTAAAGAGAACAATACTATTTTCGTATGTTGATTACGCATTTTATTATAATTTTGACATAAGTGCTAATTTTGACTAGCTGTGTTAAACATATTGTAATATTTCACAAATATTAACTGTGTGTGCATATTATAGTGAAAGCCATCATGTCGTTATTCGGTTCGATCATGGGAGATTTAGATGATGATCCATTTTTTGGGTATGCTTTTGTTTTACATATAAAATTATGATTGCTCGATTTTGGCACATGTGTCGAGATTTACTAAATTCACTGTTACTTCCAAGCAAATGTTACATAATAAAAATGTCCCTTTTTCCAGTGCTCACATGCGTTCCATGCGCCAGATGAATAACATGATGAATTCACTTTTCGCGGATCCTTTTGGTATGATGGGCGGCTTCGGAATGGGTGGCCCACCGGCCCTTACAATGGGTTCTAGACATAGTATGGTGCCATTTGGATTTCCTCCTATGCCACAATTGAATATGAACAGATTGCTAAGTGGTATGAGAATCGTTTAAAATTTTTTTTTTCCTATAAATATGTACTGTTCAAAATTAGTTTTTTTAAAAATGTTTTTATTGATCTTAGTTGTTTATTAATTTTATTTCAAGTGCCCTCGTGTAAAAAATAATTTTATAAAGGATAAAACGTTTTTTGAAATAATTCTTACTTTTTATTTTAAAACTTGAATAATATTGCTTTTGTTTCATTTGAACTGATTGATGTGTCGGTATCAACAAAATGATATTGACGATAATTAGACTATATATGGCGCTACAAAACTTATACATCTAGTATATTTCTAATTTTTTACTCAAATTTACAATACCATATTTAACATAGTACTTCCTCAGCATGACGTGCCCTTATGCAGTTTGAGAATTGCGAACATTATACTTACTTTGTTACTTTTATAGCATTGTTTTGCTCTAACACATGTCGGGTATTGGTAAAACAGTAATAAAATATGAAATATAAAGCTATATAAAGCAAACTTTATTTAATTTAAAATTACAACATCACTGTACAACAGCTCTATAAACTTAATTAAATCTTTGCGAAGATACCTCATTTGGCATTTTCTATTTGAGTACATATGTTCTATCAAATTTTTTGCAGAAATCTTCATATGTATTTTGTTTTTGGCTATGCAGATAGCCTTATTGTTAGAATATTTCTGCGTAAATAGCCCTCAACCTTTTTTAAAGATATTATTAGAAGATAGAAGTGGAAGATAATGAATAAGTAGTACTGCTATCAGAAATCCATGATGAGGATCCTAGCAAAGGTGAACATGAAAAAATTAAAATTTAATGTATAAAATGTAAAAAAGGCATTGATTTAGCAGAACATCCAGTAATATTATTTAAAAAAGAAATAAGCACGAAATTTGAACAGGTATTTTACAAGTGCTTAGCATCATATAAGGAAATTTTTAAAGATCTTTTACTTAAAGCAAGCATTTTAATATAAGTTTTTTTGTGTGAGCTGGTGGTAATGGAAAAATGTTTAAAGGATGAGGATAATTTACCAGTAATTATATATGATGAAGAAAATATTATATAATTCTTGTAATAAATCATGAATTTTACTATGAAAACATAATAGTGTGTTCTTTCTTAATTTTGTGAACCTAATCTGTTTTTTGTATGATTCCATATGACACAGTAGTTTTTGGAACATAATTCTTTTTTTATACAGGTATTACCTGTATTTATATATGCTAATTTATAATAATAATTTATATGAATATAATAATTATAAGTATATATAATATCTTAATGGCTTTTTCTTGAATTTTTTATAAATAGTTATTTACATATCTATTCAGGTTCTTTAGATTCTGGCTTGGGGGAACATGGGTTTAGTAGTAGTAGTGTGATGTCTATGAGCATGACTTCTGGCCCAGACGGACGACCACAGGTCATACAAAGTTCATCAAGCACCAGAACTGGTCCTGGAGGTATTAGGGAAACAAAACGAACTCACATTGATTCTAGAAGTGGAACTAAGAAAATGGCTATAGGTATAGAACTAATTATATATTACTTTGGTAATGTAAATACTTTCTAAACAATAAATGATATGTAATTAAAAATGTAGCGGTTATGTTGGCTTTATTGCTGAATTTAATACAATATAATAATACTGTTATATTATGAAAACATTTATCAATGCATTTTTTTTTGTATAAAATCAATTCTTTTTCCTTCAAAATACTTCAAACTGAAACTAATAGATTATTATTACTAGGTCATCATATTGGATCTCGTTCACATGTGATTGAACGTGAACAAAATACTATTTCTGGAGATCAGGAAGAAAGACAAGAGTTTATTAACCTAGAGGAAGAGGAAGCTGAGGATTTTAATCGTGAGTTTGAACAGAAAGCTCGTGAGAGTTTCCATGGACATTCAATTGCTCGTAGGCATTCCGGACTCCCACAAATTACTTCTGGAAGTAATGCTACTGGTGCTGGAGGGTAAGCTACTTTGAATAGAATATATGAAACATTTGTGGTTAATTATAATTATTGCCATTAATTTAATGGTAGTATATGAAAAGAAAGCTAGTGCCAGTTATATAAACACATGTTAGTATTGCCATTAGTTTCTAACTTTATAAGATTTATAATTACAACTGGTTACAATATTGCCTACAACAGCGAAAAAAAATCAGTAAGCAATAATTTCAATCTGTAAAGATTTGACAAAACTACATCCTCCTATATATTTTTTTTGAATTTCCTTAATTCACATTCAATTCGTCTTCAAATTCATATTAGGCTTTATTTATGATTTGCATGTAATTTTTATTAGTTCCATGTTTCTGTATTGTTTTCGAATAGTTTTCTTATACATTAACTGTATTATTTAATTCTTCGAGTAATTGTGAAGAATGAAATTATTGAAATTTACCAATCTGGATAACGAGAAAAAGTTCGTACTTTTCATTTCTGTTTTGATTGCTTTTTGATACATATGTATGAGTTGCTCACTATTTCAAGAGTTTGTCCCGCCTTTTGTTTTACAATTAGTTGTGCCTCGAAGAGTCAAATATCTTTTTGTTGCTATTTGAAAACTATTCAAAATTGAATGGAGAGCATTAAATCTATTTTGAAAATTTGTTTTTCGCAAGTATGTTTTTCTTTATTCTGATTCTTGATAAAGAACTTCTCAAAAGTTATATTGCTTAATGCACATGCAAATTTATTTACATTGGATATATGCTGGATATTGAACATCTTTTGCTGTATCATAGTTCGATATAGATTAGATAGTTCATTATTAGCTTAGTGCTATTCAAGTAAATTTGTATTCTAGTTATTAAAATAAGTTTTTTTTATTCAACATTTGATGCATTCCTTTAAATTATTGAAATATGAATAGGAACATTGTTTACAATATCTTGAATAGCACTATTTCTATGTATGTGCTTATATGTACAGATGTATATGCACGTATGTATGGATTGTTATATAGGAACCTTGTATATAATAATTTTTTTTATGAATTTATTTTTCAGTTGCAAAAACTTGATTTTTTTTGCAGAAAAATATATTCTTTAATATATACTATTTGTAACATAATCTTAACTTTGGATACTATTAATTTATTAGACTTTTATGAATTGATATCAAAGATCATTTTAAGATTTTAAAGTTTATGTTCAAGAAATCTTATTCATCAAATTTCTGATTCATTTGATTCTGATTTAAGATGTTTTGCATGATTCCTATAAGATTTTTAAATACATGGTTCCTATATATATATATATATATATATATATATATATATATATATATATATATATATATATGCATTGAATGTATACACCGTGTTCTGCATGTGATTTTCCTACCGCTCGCCAGATGGCGCTCGCGTATATCCGCCGGAAGCGCCGGCGGAAACGCACGACGTAGTTTGCGCACGCCGTCGCCGAATTTGTTGGCGCTGCCCGCTCCAGTATCAGGACACCATTCACCTAGGACAAGTACCAGGTTAGTGATTTATTTCTTTCTATTTACATATTTAGAGCCAAGTTAAACAGGGATATTTATCAAATATCACACGAAACTATTACTATTTAATTGTATTCAAGGAATATAATTGATTGATCTATATCAATCTATATATGTCTAATATCCTAAATCTATATATATTTTGTAGTCAATTTTAATTTTAATTCCAGATTTACTAGCTAATGCATATAATCAATGAATAAAGTTATTGATATTTTTTTCATCAGTAATGTATCACTCAAATTTCGTGTATGATTTGTTGTAACTTATGCTTTAGTTGAATTAATTCCACTGTAATCCGTGAACTGTAGTTCTTTACTTCATAACCTTTAGTGGTAAATTCATTGTGGATAAAAATGTGCTTCTTATGAAGTATTTGCCTAAATTCTCGGCTTGGAATCCAAGTTTTTAAACTATTATAAACTTCAAACTTACTGCTAAAGTTATGCAAATAAGTTTCTTTAAAGTCGAAGTGTGGTGACATTAAATAATGAATGGGTTATATGTAGTGCATTTATTATTGGAATGTTTATAGATATTGTTCAATGTACATAATGTATTATTGTAGAATGAATATGACTAGAAATCTGAAGTGTGCGCATTTTGCTTGATGTCTTCATCATTTCAACATCATGCTTTATTAAGGGTGTCATCAATTCCGAAAATCATCATTACTAATCATACTTAACAGGATCTTCATCTGTGCGAATTTTCAATTGTTGCATGTATCCATTACGAACTATTAAAACTAAATAAATTTAATGTTCTAACATTTACTTCGTTCACTGCTTTTATTTACACCGCTTGTTTCCAAAGAGAATTAAGAACATTCTCGCATATATCTAATATGATTGTCATTTACTTCATATATTATTTTTATCTTGTTATAATCAACAATACTTTTAATTATTCTGTTATAAAACGAATTGAAACATAGCTAAAAAGTATATTTATCCGATATTCTTAAATTAAAATGTTTTCCTGGGTTACAGGTACCTTAGGAGGCATTATTAGATTAATCACGAAACCGTTTCTCGTGAGTATTTTAGTAACAAATGATTTGTTTAATTAATTCAGTTAGAATTCAGTTCGCTCGTTTATTGTTAATTCTAAAGATGATGTATTGCTGTTTGCAGAACTATTGATATTTGGTTTTGATTACTACTTTATTCAATTTGCTTGTGCTGTTATAAAAATATTTTCTATAAGTGCTTGTTTTTGTTAATATCTATGCTTTATTTCTAATATTATCCTCAATTTGAAATTAACTTCACAGTGGTTTTGCATCGTTATCGATATTTGTTAAATACAATGCGCTATATTTCAATATCAATTTCTAAATGATCAGTTTTTTTACTCAAAAGTGAATACGATTTTATGATGAAATATGGATAAACACCTAAACAATTATATTGGCTTTAAATTTTAAAACAAACATTCGAATATTTAAGGAGCTTGATATTCAATATAGTACTTTTCAGTATTTGGTATATGTACTTTTTGTATATCCAAGTATAGGTAATTAAGAATAAACAAAGGTCTCAAAGAAATTTTGACTACTATCATTATCTAGTAGATCAGGTTATACGTGTGGTAAATGTTCATTTGAATTTATTTTTTTAATTTAATGACTATTCTATTATATCACTCTTGATTAGCTGGTATTTTACAATAATGGTTACTAGTAGTATTAACATATTTTTATCTAATTGCTATACATAATCAATAATGATTAACGTATTCACAGTTGTATTGATTGTGAATCTTAAAAATTATCGTCGATCTGACGTTTATGGCATTTATTATTTGGTTATTATAGTGGAAAACTTTGTTATTGATGTCAACAGCTTATTAATTAAATCACATTTCTATTAAAAATTTGCTCATTGCATGTGCATTGTATTTTAATATGCTTTGCTAATTACCAACAGTTAATTTTTTGATTAACATGGCTCTTTAACAAAAGCAATAATGTGTTAATTTTATCATTATTATTGTATTATCTATAATAATATAACCTACATATTTTTGTAGATGAGAGTATTATATTGTATATAAAACTAATTTTCTTTTAGTAAATGGGTAAAAAGCTTACTGCAGGAAATGATTAGTACAAACCAGTATTTTCCTCTTTCGTTTTTTTGCCTCCAATGTAATCAAGGCGACTTCGTCGTACCAACTATCGCCTAAGCCGTACTTGCTTTATAGATTTCAGTCTAGGATCACCTTTGAGTTAAACGGGTCGAACATAATAATTAATGTAAAACCTAAAATAAAACAATTTCAAAGTAACAAATTTACTCATAAAATTATTAAGTCTCTAAGTGCTAAGAAATGAAAGTGTGGAAAGAACTTTGGAAAATGATATTTCATCATTATTATTTCGCATTTAACTAAAAAAAATCATAGTACCAGTAAGGTCTTTTGCACAGACACTAATTAAGCCGCAAGGTCTTCAGAAGTTTGAAATTATAACTTCTTACCCAATCTTAACAAATATAAATAATCATTAAAAAGATAAAAATTGAGTATTATTTTGACGGCAATGACCAAAAGGCTTACGAAAGTCAAAAAGTATTAGTAGAAACTTCACGGAAAACTTACTTTCTGATTATTTCTCTTTCACGAAGATAAAATATAGCCGAGTTATACAAAAGAAATCCAATTGATAAAAGAAATTTCCTTATTTTCACTTCTGCTTTTTGTGTTTTTCTTGCAAATAATTTAATCAATCTTTTCCTCACACATCAGTGTTTTCTGTGTGTTAATAACTTGTTTTTTTAATTTTTCTGCAATAAAAAAGTAAATTAGGCAGAAATGCTGGTTATTGGCCATATTTTTTTTTATTTGTTGACTTTGTATACACGTACATTAGTCTTATACATTTAAGTTATCTTCACAATTTTATTTTATTTGATTGTATAAAATTATATAGCGTGCCATATATCCTTTTGTTGTCAATAATGTTAAAAATTGGTTGGAAGGGTAATTTTTGCCTTACTATCTTCCTTCATAGTTCTTGTCTACCTTTTTCCCATTTTTTGCACCCCATAATGGCGTGCTCAGCATCCGCCTTAGTCGCTCCATCCAAGCAATAGCATATTGAATTGACTATATTGCTATAACAGCCTTCAGAACATTTTGCTTAAGTTGATAGAAAATTGTGCCACATGTTTGGATATGTACTGTTCACTTTTCCTGCTTTTCCTTATTTCGACTTTTTAGCTTGGTGGGTTATATTGGCATATTGGTTCTAACATGTTTCATGGCGTCAATATTATCTTGCTGAATTACTTCACAATTAGAAAATTTATATGGATTCGAGGATAATGTTGGGTTTTTTTACATGTTGAATCGTTAAATATTCCGGTCTGTCATAAATCGTCTGCTTCAGGATAATCCAAAACCTTTGACTTATTGGTTTCAGTATCGCAAGACATCCGTACGCAGCCACATCAAGGCGCGCCATTCGGCAAATGAAATCAGTTTCGGGGCACGGAGCCTCTTCATCAAATGATACTCCCAACAACGAATCGAATCAAGAATAAAATTTCGTAGAAAATTTGTACCATGTTTACACGACATCCTTAATTTGGTAGTGCTTATGTAATTCGGATAATCATCCTTAATTTGGTAGTGTATGAAGCTCGGATATAGGGATCAGAAAGAAATGTTTATGCTGATTCATAATATTGATACATTATATTTTATACTTCATGTAAATGAAGTATAAAATGTGATCAACCAAAGTCTTCAGGATGTGTATACATGGATGTGCATTGGATGGTATCGAAAATGGAATACATATTGCTGTTATGCAATGCCAAGAATCAAATCCGCACTAATAATAAGGAAGTGTGATTTTACGTATTCCATCATCAGTGGTTTTATTACTGATTCGTAAATTATTACCAAATTAAAAATGTCGTGGTGCACGATGTTTTTCTCAACAAGATTGTTCATTAAAATTAAAATCTTTTTTTGTATTATAGGTAAATGAATGTAAGTGCGGAAATGTGAACTTTCGGAAATTTTTAGTAATTGCTAAATTGCTCATCACTTGGCAGTTGTTATCTCCTTTTATATTTTTAAATAATTTGGAAGAAAAATATCTCATTTTATGCGTAAAAAACTTTATCTTCAAATATTTTCTAACTGTATTTGAGATTTTTATGCTATATGTTTTGGACATGTTTTTTTTTTTTCAATTCTATGTAGTTATTGGTCAATTAGCCCTTTATTATGAGTTTTATTGTAAAGCACATCTTTTTCTTAATCTATTAAATTTGATATGAGTTGTTTGTATAAATAACTATTCAAGTTCATAAAAAATTGAATAATATTTTTAAAATAAAATGAACTTTCTAAATCGTGTATAGAAAAACGCAGGGGCTGCGTCGAATTGTTTTGGATTTTTTTTGTAGTGTGTGCCTACTTTATTATTATTTATTCAATCGGCCAAAGCGTTTGCGAACATATACCTTTGGCCACCATCATTGTCGAGAATTTTGGAATAATTTCATGTTACTGCTAATATTGATTAAAAAAAGCAGTGGTGATTATGCTATGATCTAAGTTTTATAAAAATAATACTATAGTGCTATGATATTAAGAAGTAAGTGTATCAAACAATTGTATTTTTTACTGCACTAAAAGCTTTTACGTTAAAATAAGAAACATACGGCCGGACCGCCCTTCGATGTTGCATCTCTCATTTTTTTGCAACGATTGCAAATTGGTTTATCTATTTTTATTTAAAACTGAAAGTTCTTAGAGCAGTAAGTTTTTACAACTATTTGATATATTATATTTAATAATTGCACAAATATATTATGAACATTTTATGTAAGATATGCTATAGGATTCAATGTAGTGATTCTTTTCAATAATCTAAGAGTTGCTTTACTAAACGATTTGAATATAAAATATTTAAAATTTTGTTTTTGATATTTTTTCTATGTTAAAATTAAGCAATGTTTTTTTTTATATTGAAGGGATTTTCTAAATATTTGTGCAAGTGAAAATCGAAATTACAGAGAATTGACTCAAATTGTAATTTATATATACATAAATATAATTCAAATTTATATGTATATATATATATATATATATATATATATATATGCATTTGTATATGTTTATGTATATATATATAATATATATGAATTGTGTACATGAGGCCATGGCAAAAAACATTCTTTGTCAATGTTTTTGGCATGTGCATAACTGTAAATTATGATATTATAAATATTTAAATGTGACCCTTGTGTTTTATTCGAATTTAGTTCTTGCATGAATTTTTTTTTAACACAATATTTTTGTCCTTGTGGTTACGCTAATTTACTGTGAAATGATTTTTATTTCAATATGGTTCTTTTTTTACTACAATAGTTGAACAAAGTTCAAAAAACTATTGAGTTTGTTTGGCAGTGGTATTAAGATTATCTATTTAGAATTAATATTTTTATACTTAGATAAATAAGATCTAAATAATTCTACAAAGGCACATGATATCTTCAGATTCAGACTTGCATGTTTAAGAAAAGTTTAATTTTGTTCATAAAACATTTACAACATACACATGTTCCTTTCAAAGCATTTTATTTTTGTTTTAAAATACATAAGCATTGATAAATATAAAGATAGTTTTATACGAGCTTAAGCTTCTTTATAAGTTACAAATTACCAGGTATATCAAAATAAGAAAAATAAGTAAACTATTAATACAATACAAAAAAAAACATAAAAATTTGAAAACTTAATACTAATATGAAGCATTAGACATTACAATTTAATAATACATAAATTTTAAAAAGAATTTAATAAAATTATTTATGACGTGCCATTCTTTGATGACATGGCATTTGTTGATGACTTTCAATTTTCAACTTCTGACATCTCAGTGATGGTATCGTTGATATCGAGAAGCTGTTGGATATATGATTGATCGCTCAATATGCTTGATAATGACGATAGCAGCTTTGTTAGCTCTGAACTAGACATTCTTAATTGTGAACTGCACTCATTGATCTGATGTTGAAGTTGCTCTGGTATCTGTGATGAAATAAGCATATGATCATTTTTATATTGCAAAAATAAATGCATTTATGTATTGAAATAGTTTTGATCTTGATGTTACAATTATCTCTCCTTCTCACCTCTTCTGGATTTGTAAACTGCGAAAACTTGTACTTTGTTTTTCTTTTAATTGATGCTTGCTCATAGAATAATGTAAATTCCGGGCAATCTGTAGCGGAAACCAGGAAATATAATCCAGCTAAAACTTGACCTTTGGTATCACGTGCCAGTAATGAACGGAAGTTGTATACTAAATTACGCCTTACTGTCACATCCACTGCAGTATAATAAGGTTTATGCACATATACTAGAGATACCACTAGATTTGTAGTTGTTCCTCCTGTAAAAAATAAGGAATGATAATAAGTATACCAGACTAAAGTTACCACAAATTATATTGTTTTTATATGTTTTTACGAATGGACTCTCTGTAATGAGATATTTCTTCCAATTTACCTTCTTTAATAGTTCTGTGTTGTCGTTCATGCCATTCAACATAATGAGAAGATTGAGTGCTATAAGCATAGCAATATTCGCGTTTGCTTCCACCTGGCCCTTCATCACATTGTGTAAACCAACCTGCAAATAAGATAATTTTAAATAGATTTGTGTTTATACAATATTTGTTGTAACTTAAATCCAAAGGCGTTCTTTACCCGTATGTGGATATTTTTCATCAGCCATTACTGTCACTACTCTTGCGACGTGATATCCTGGATCACAAAGGACTACACCTTTTCTTCCATTTATGCAAATACGAATAGCAACCATAACGTGTTCTTTTTCTAAGGCGCCGCCTGGAGCCCTGGATGGGTCGGGAGAATTTTGTATATAGCGAGACGCATCCGTGGTGCCGACGGCTTCTTCGCAACTCACCTATAAGAATATTTCAATAATATCTATATAGCAACAAGCTTTTGATACTTAATTCTTATAATTATCTAATATACTAACCAAATATGCAGCCTCAGACAGTTTCGAATAAGCTTGGTGTAACGGCTTCAATCTGTTCAACAGTTCCATGGCTAGACTCACGCAAGTATGATGTTGTTTCGACACTGGTGGTGTATAAGCACGGAAGAATTTATCCAGGTCATAATTTGTTCCGGAAGCATCCCTGTAGAATGTTTTATTAGTGCATTGAATAAAAATAATTATTGATGATTACGTATATAATTTGGATATGTACCTCATTTTTCTATATTCCTGGCTGAATTGTAAAAAGTTATCTACAGTATCATAGTTGGTCTCTTCCAATAATCTCTGTTCCGTCATTTCTACTCTGCTGGCAAATGCCTCATATTCTATTACTGATGAAAAATCTAACTTTGCATCAGTTTCTCTTCCCCAACAAGGCATAGGCAATGGTAGGTCAACGGGCCAAGGACCTGGCATTTGGTCAAACTTCTCTGGATCATACAAATCTTCATTAGCAAAATTTTGTTGTTTATCTGAAATTGTTGTTTCGTCTTTTTCTGGTATAAGATTTGCAGTTTTCTGCACATTTCCAAATGTTTGCGATATGATTTGTGGCAAATCAATAGTTAGTTCATCGATATTTTTCAAAGAAAAGTTCAATTTAACATTTGATATTTTTGATGTAATCTGCTTATTGATTGGTATTTCTACATATGGTACTAATTTCAATTGATCTTCTGAAAAACTTGCTTCGTTCTGTGATTTGAAATTTTGTTCTAACGCTTTTTTTTCTTCATATTCGTAACTTTTACCTTCTGGCTTTTTGCTTTGTTCAAAGTCAAAACTACTGTTTTCAATATTTGTATCAAGTTCCGGCAACGATAGGAAAAAATCTACATCTGAATTAATTTTGGTGTTGAAATCGAAAAAAGGCAGATCTTGTAGTTCAGCTAAATCTCGGTTTACATCATTAATTTTACTATCATCTAAATCTGATGTGCATATGTTCTTAGAATGATCAAAATCCTGTTTTAAATCTCTTGATGGCAATATCGATCTCTTGTCATCCGCTGCAACATTTTTGAGCTGTTCCACATCAAAAGCGGAAATTTCTTCTAACAAGAGTCTTGGTTTCCAACGCTTCGTCTTGAGGCAGTCGTCTTCGTCGAAAAAACTCTGATGTAGAATCAAATCTTTCCAAACATCCGGTGATGAAAAGGGTGTCTCTGAATCGACATCTAGACGACATTCGCCTTTTGCAAGGTTTCGCGTCGATAGGCATTCGTCGGCATTATTATCCGCGAGAGTCAACTTCACTGGTTCATCCGACGCAATGCCTGCCTGATTTCTTGGTTCTTCCGATTCGCCTAAGGGAATAAAAAATAAATGAAATAGGTTGAATAATTACACAGGTCAACAAAGAAAATTGTGCAAACGATTATAATACTGTTTTTAAGTATATTTGGGGCGCTGATTTCAAAAATGACATTGTTTTTTTCTATGAGCTTTAGTTTTCAAGATACGATATATATGATATATTTTACGATATTAGGTGCGCAACTAAGTTCTCGCTGTTTTTTCAATGAAAATGTAACTTTATTATAAAAAAATTGCATCAATTGAGTTCGATACAGTTCTCCAGTGATGGTTTCACTTGGTTTCAACAGCTCATAACAAATAACACCGACCTGGTCCCACCATATGTAGAGCATAACCTTCGCAGTGAATATTCGGCCGAGATTTTCTCCTCTTTGGATTGCTGTAATGTATTCATTTTTAATCACCTGTCACGATGTGATGAAGAACCTCTTCTTTTCTCGCCGCTGGAGCAGTTGTTTACAGGCGAAAAAACGACGCTCAACGTCTCTTGGCTTCAACTCACAAGGAACCGAAGTTTCTTGCTTTTAAATTATCCCCAACGCATGCAATAGTTTGGAAATGGCTTGATGGGTAACTCCTAATTCTGAAGTAAGATCTTCTTGAGATTGGCACGAATCCTCTTCGAACAAGGCCTTCAATTTAGCGTTTTTGAAGGTTTTGGCCTTCCTTCACGAGGGTGGTCGTCAACATTAAAATCACCAATTTTGAAGCGACAAAACCCTTCACGGCATGTTGTTTCGCTCATTTACATAGCAACATTTCCGTAGATCTCGATGCACTTGAGCTGCCGTTTTTTTTGAATGGAAGACGAAACTCAACACTCTCCGCAAATAACGATTGTTTGGCATAAAATTGGACATATTCACTTAACCAGAAGTATATAATGCACAAACGAAATCAATTATGTGTCGCAGCAGTTCGTTTACTTACTCTAAGCTTGCTTCAAGACGTTTTCGATTTGTCAAAATCGACCAACCCTTACTGATAGAGCCATATACTGACAAACAGAGAGAACTTAGTTGCGCCACCTAATATAAGGAACGAAAGTATAAAAGAGTAATACAATTCCGAATGTTATTTTAATGAGATATGTCTACTCGTACATACAAACTTACAAGACCCATTCGGCCTTAGTTGGGACATTAGTTGACACTGTGAAAAGTTCTTTTTCGTGACGACCTCGAATGGACCTGGTTTCGGCAACTTCTTTGTATCTAAAAAACTAGAGCTGATACAAAAAATGGTTTGCAGATTTGAAATCAGCGCAAAAAATACTATAAGAATCAGCTCTAACATTTGATGCACAAAAAAAAAATTGTTTTTGTTGGCCTGTGTTATCGCATTTGATGAGTGATGTTTTTTTTATCTGAGTTAAAAATTGTCAAAGATGCTGTAGTTTAAACTTTGATAGTCAATCGATGTTATAATATATTGTGAATGTAATAAAAAGAGGATACTTAACTTTTAAAGTGTAGTAAATTCAAGAAAAAGGTAATATGGTCTTTAGGCCATCGAGAATAGTAGTTATTATAATCTAATGACTGATACTAACCCGTTGCGAGTCAACTCGGCCATTCGCTACCCCAGCGGCCAACGGTTGGTACATAACCGTTCTCCTGCCTGTCCTCCTCCTGGCACAGCAAATGGGCCGACACCGCCGAGGCATGTTTATAGGTGACATTCTCCGATCCTGCTGCATCGTCGACGACACGCGCCGCCGCTCGAGCGCACGGGAGCGCCGACACGCTCAACGACAAAAACCTTGGTTTTTCACGCTCTGCAGGTAAAAGAGAACAAAAGTCAGATATATTATACGTATATGGTTGGTTTGATAATGAGTTTCGACTTGCGGAAGAAGCTAATAAAGTGCTATGTTTTGATCAGAAACGTAGTCTCTAGAAAAGGCCGACAAAAACTCTGAGTTCTAAATTGTGGTGCCAGAGACGAATGGAGAGGATAAAGTGGTTAGATAAGTGCTGACCAGAGTAGAAAACGAAGAACTCTACTGAGCACGATCATGAAAAGAAAAAGAAACTGGATCGGACATATAATTTGCAAAGAAGTCCTTCATCGTCGTTGAAGGTAAAATAAAATGACTGAAAGGACTACAAAAAACGAATCCAGTTGATAGACGACTTACGCGAAAGGAGAATGAAAATGTTTGGAAATGTGAATAATGTGTTCTGTAATAACATGATCGTACGTGTTTTTAATAAAAATATGAATTTATTTTTCAATGTTAATTAAAGTCCAAGATCTTCGCATGAACGCGGAAGCACGCCATCCCGAATTTGTCACGTCCAATACAATATATAATGAGTCAAAATTATTTGTATAAACTAGTGAGTCTTAATGTCTAGTCTAGAGTAGTCTTATATATCATAAGTGGAGATTATGTCTGATAATTAAAAGAAATAAATACAGTGTTTAATACTACAAGTGGATTTTTATTGGAAACCAGAAGTTTGTCTCTTCCAGCAAATACCTTATTGAAAGGACCCATTATTCTGAAGAGAGCTATTATCAAACCAGTCAATCAAATATTATTCCTACTGCTCGACCCAAGGCGCCAGGAAAGGGTTGGACGGACATTATTACCATATCGTATAAAGAAATCTACTACGGTAACCACTAACTAGGACTGTGGATCTACCAACAATCGGACCTCCAACCCATACCTAAACCCTACTACCAAACCCCTTATATCATTTCAAATGATAATAAACAAGGGAAAGGGAATCCTTAATATCTGGTGCTCGCACACCAAGGACCTGCCTTCGGGCTTAGAACTAGCAAGTCTGAAGAAATGGTGAGCGGTGAATATCGGAAAATATTTGGAATCACAAAGACGAAGAAAATATTCCGTTTTTTTAGTATGTTTAATTCTCAACGTTTAGTAAACAGGTAGAACACATGGTCATCGATATAACATACAATCAAATTTATATAGAATTATTTATTCTTATGAATATTGTTAACTTGATCTCAGAATTATGGTTTAAAAATAGATTGAATTACATATTCATGCCACCAAATTTTTTTTTTCAAAGTTGGCATCTAGATTAGATAGCCAATAGTAAAATATGTATACTGACTACGTTGGTGATTATTATTAATGTAGTATTATAAAATTTTAATTTGCTAAAAATTGACTATGACTTTATTTTAGAAATATTCCCAGCCCTGTTATGCTAAATGCCTAAATCTGGTTTCCTTAAGCCAAAATCTGCGTAGCTGCACAGCCGGTTAAACATTATCTATTTATATGCAGTTTCATGAAAATTGTTTGAAAGTTTTATTTGATTTCATTGAACATACCGAGATACTTTCCAAAACAGTGATTTTGTTAGAAACTATTTTAATATCGTAACATTGAACTCATATCATGTGTATATTTTCTATGTACTAAATCCATCTACCACAACTTGCATCAGTTATGCATTTTGTTTTAATATTAGACAAAAATATCGGAAATGCCAAAGCATTTCGTCGGTTTTAATCTGACATTTGGCAAATAACTCATAGAATTTTCATGGGTGCATTTTTAATTGATGGCACGGGCTTTGCCAAACTTGTTAAAAATTTGCACTGAACACATAAATCCCTGCCAAATGCGTAGAAATGATTATTTTCGGCGTTTTGTAATAGGACAAGGGTTGGTGACAACTGGCACAATTTAAAACATCAAGTTGGCAATGGAAAATATTGGGTAGTTTACTTATTGATATGATATTTTAAGTAATTTACATCAATTATAAGTGGACATAAATTGATTTGCTAATGTTTCAATTTAATATTTTATTATTCGTGATGCTTTTATAAAACATTTATCAAAGTTATCTAATTAAAGATAGTAGTTGAGTTTGTCGGTTTATGTAATGCCGAGGACCTTGAATTGGTTCTATTATAGGAACGTGTACATCCAATTACTAGAATGCGAATTAATGATTAATTAGTATTGCATTTGATCTATAAATTCATTGACATTTAGGTATTAATTAAATAAATAGAAGAATTATATAATTATTAAAAGTCTGCAGATTTAGGCCACGATAATAAAATGATAACAAATGTGATTTTCATAGACTACCTAAATTCAGTATACTTTAATCAGTTGCCTTGTCTGATCATTTCATACATTATTGAAAAAATCGATAAAACGGCATTGAAGATTTGCTTTTATTTATTATGCATATGGTATTAATTGTAAAAATGTTCTTGTCATTGATACTACATTAGAATGTCTCAATAACCTTGCCTTTACACATATGTTTTGTGATTAGAAAATATGTAAACATATAGTTTCCGTCGAAAAATGCAAATATCTCTCAATAATATTGACACGTGCTTTTGCTTTCGAGTTGGTGGCGTCGAACATCACTTAACAAAATTGGAATTTCACAAATTCCTTCAATAATGAGATAAACGATAACATTGTTTTTCATTCAGATAACGAGTAGCTATTATAAAATATACGCATATGTAGATATTATAAATTATATTTGTTTTTGTAAACTGATTTAGATTTGAATAATAGCCATGAAAGGTCTTATGTTCCTTTTAGAATAAAGGAAAAATATTGATACTGTTTTAAACAGATGAACTTAAGAAGTGGAATAAAGCACCACTGTTACAAAGTCGAACAAAAATCATCTTTATAATAAAAACAATAAGATACTAGTGTTCCGTGGCGTAATAATTAAGCGCACCGCCTCGTGTGCACGAGGTCGTGAATTCGAACTCTCGCTCTGGATAATCTGATATCATGCAGTAGCGATGTCTATTCTCACTTGAAAATTAACATAAAAAATTTGTTTCCAATTGAAAATATCTTATTTCGGACACTGCGGTGTGTAATGGCAATGGAAAATCGCTCACATTATTCTTCCCTGAATCGAGTTGGAGTTCAACTCAGCTCACGGATTTGCTCTAGGGCAGTATTACCCATTATTATTGTTTATTTATACTAATAATAATGATGAAAAGTAGAAAAAACAAGGTTCGGTCAGAGGGACAATAAATATCGTTGATAAAACTGGAAAAATATTAGAATTTATAAATGATATAAAGAATTTTATTATTCGCCCATGGGTAAGTTGTTAGACCTATGGGATTTGAATCAGAAGTCTCAGGTTGCATAACCGCCTCGAGCAGCCTGATGTCAAGCAGTTCTGAGACTTGGAAATATAGATATAGATATGTTTCCATAAGCATTGCTGCATCAATAAAAAAAATCATCCCTATTACAGAAATTGTGATCATAAAATTGATCACATGGAAATGATACTATTGTTTGGGTTGCCATCTGTTTGGCAACCAACATAGTCAGTTCAGTAAATTATCACAACAGCTCATAGAACCCTTAAGTTCTGATCGCTGATCAACTAAAAGAAA